CACACACACACACACACACACACACATATGCGAGGGAGTGATCATTTGTCACACATATATATGGTTTTTTGATACTGAGACGTGTTTCTGTAGATGAACTTATTGTGATAGAACTCGTTGTTGGAGAAGGTAGATACGCTTCTGATTATGCGACTTGAGATGATGATGATTCGTAATTTATTTCGACATAACTAACGTTGTCATGTATAGCGGCATCACGCGACGGCGAGTCCCTCAATAAACGTGTCAATAATTGTCTGCGCAGACGAGGATTGCCGATCTTCTTGGTGTCGCCGGCACGGACGTACCCATTGAAGAGATCCAGAAGCTGATGATTCCACATATGGTGAGCGCGCACTTTTCGCTGATCTTTTTACATTGTTCTATGTCATTTGTTATTCATTGCATTTGCAGAGTTTGCGGTATAATAGTTCACAGAGTCAAGATTTTTCATCTGAAAGTAGATTTTATTAATTGCCAGAAAGATTGATGAAAACTGTGTTTTCGATGTCCAAATTGTGCTAGAAGATTGCAAATTTAAAATATTCCACTGTAATATGTGTGTGTACACACACATTTGCATGAAACACACTTTAAGGACGACCTGTAAATTTTACAACAATATTTTTGTGACAAAAACGATTTTGTAAGAGAAAATACTTGAAAATTTTACACTCGAATATCGAGTATCGAGGTTGTACTTTTGTCTAGAAATATCTAGCAAGTCTAATAATCCTTAAATATCTCTTGTAACATTACAATATTTTATCGTGAATTATAGATCGTCCGAATAGATTCGGCTCTATGCGACATATAACCAAAAGAAAAAAACATATGATTTGATACTTGAACATTAAATCAAACATTCAAATGTGAAATATCGAGTATTCGTTTAAATACTCCCACGAGACGATTTTAACAAGAGAGAGGAGATTGATGTGAAAAAGTTATTAATATCTATAGTAATTTTCTCATACAAAGCCAACATTGTATCAATTGACACGATAATGAATGTAAATCACAATGATATAACTTTTTGCTTTTTTCCCACGCATGAGAATAGCTCGGCGTCAATGGCTACGCTTTCATCGTCACGAACAATGGTTTCATCTTGATTCATCCCGATCTCCGACCAGTGGTAATCTCTCTCTCTCTCTCTCTCTCTCTTAATCGTAACACTACATTTATTTAATTCTTCTTGCATGTTTGCTCGATTTTCGACACGTTATGATTTGACATTTGTGTTACGTTTTGTTACGCGAGACTTTTACTCTCAAAACAACAAAGTTTCCATTGTCTCGTTAGCTATGTTAAACTATTGACGCTTTCAGTACACAATACCACGCTCTATAATACACAATAATAATAGTTTCAGGGTATTTTGAAACCAGCTTACAACAGCGTCGATATGGCGGAAGTTGAGCTGATGGATCATGACAAAGGCCCCAGGGAATTTGACGAGGGAATCATTATGGTGAGAATAAATGTGAAATTATTCTATAGATTTCTGTAAATCATTTAACATACTTATTCTTGTGCAAGTGAACAAAGCGATATTAAATATTATATTTCTATATTAAATCTCACAGAGTGCTAGTGATACATAAAATATCGATGGTGTCTCCGGTTCAACCGGAAAATGCCTGAACTGAAAAGTATTATTAACGTTTTTCGTGTATCAATCGATCGACGTTATCAGTTGTCAAACGTAAAATATGCACGCATATCGTTAATAATTAAACAATCATTAGACGCGAGTTTGTTGCGTTTGAACAAACATATGTTTGTGTTTCTCCGCAGCTTCGTAACGACGTGGTGAATCAATTGGACGGCACTGTGACGCTTCATACAAAGTATCATTACGACGATATGGTGAGTACGTTGCTACGGTGTACATGCAGGGGAGATTGGCCTTAAAAGTTACTCGAGTCATTTGTCACACAACTTGTATCTCACGTAATAAATGCAGGAATACATTTTTTTATAGTATAAGTTGCTTGTATCATGTTAGCTGGGTGCACAAGATGTCTTGATAGAAACGTCACATGTAATATTTAAAAGCACTTTTACAAAATTGGATATGGTGAGTAAATTTTTTCTTGTCTTTCTATTTTTATTGATTCCTTAATTTCGGAAGTTCTGTTTGCAGTTTCTCCCCTAATTTATAAATATAATCTTATTTGTTTCAATTGACCTTTTGGATTAAGTTGACTCAAATTAAGTGGAATTAGTTGTCACGTGTTACGAGTTCATCACGTAACTACGACGTGACTTATGCAAGAGCATGGAAACATATGCAATGATTTATTATCTTATCACTATAGTAAGCTGCGTATGTAAGGCCTTATATATAGCTCAAAGTTATTGTTACAAAGTTTATGAGAATTATTATCTTCAATAAAATGTTCAATAAAATATTTATTGTAATATGATTATAAGATACCACTAATATTTTAACAAAATATTTAAAACATTAAAACAGAAATAATTTGTTTTGTTTACTTTACATGAAAGTCATATGGCAACTAATTCTGGATGCGAGGTGTGAGGTGAATAGTCATATTTGCACGGTTTTGCTTACAACTTAATCACTTTTTTTATGTATAAATATATATAAGAATAATATATTTTTTTCTCTTATCTAAAGGTAGTATCTAAATAAAAATGTGCACAAAATTAAAAAAAATATTGCATATATTTTTTTGTTTAATCAGTATTTAAAAAATGTGACAACCAGACCCGGCCACCTCTGCAATATCTTCCGCGCTTCTTGAAAAATAAGGATTTTGAAATGAAAACTCTTTTGAAGCGATCGAACCGTCTATTGTAGCAATAAATTAATAATTATTCTATTTCAACTAGTATACTAGTACACAAACTTGAATTATTATTATAATGTAATAATTGCTCTATATGTGTATAGTGTAATTGCAATTCACGTTTAAAAAAATAAAGAAAATATATATACAGGATGTCCCATTTTAATTTAAAGCTAATTTCTGAAAAATACGAGGTCTTAGAAAAAAAATGTTTCTTACAAAGTTCTATGACTTTGCGCCGGCATTAGCATTACCCAAGGTGTATCTCGCGGAGGTTAGCCGGCCGGATTTCTCTTTTGGGTGTGTGTGTGTGTGTGTGTGTGTTTGCGCTCGCAGTCGAAGCAACGTATTTTCATCAATAAGTACTATGGTAATGATCCCACACAAAAGAAATGCCTAAAATATATTATAAAGATATTCTAAAGATATCACGATGTTTATACGGTATCTCTATGATGTATTTTGGACATTTTTGCTGTATAAGGTATTATCGATGCAAATACAATTCCAATTCTGTGTAAGTAGACATATCCCTGATTTGGTCTCTACACGGTACACTATTGGTAGTGTTAATGCCGGCAATGTTCTAAATTTTAAGCTTTATAACTAAAAAAATACTTCATAAAAAAGTACTTTGTTATAGTGTTTTGAAAGTGTTTGAGACAACCTGCATGTATATATACATACATACAGGGTGTCCCATATGTCCCAGACCGGCTGAATATCTTAGAAAGTATGCACTTTTGAGAAACATATTTCACACAAATGTTGCAATATATAGTGATGTATTTAGTGATGTTAGTAGTTTGACGTTGGGTGGCGTCTCCAAGATCAGGTAAAAGTCAACTTTGCTTTTTTTAAATAGAAACATATATTTTTTATTACGGAATTTTATTCTACGTAAAGAAATAAACAACTTTTGTTGAAAAATTTTTTCATACGACTCTTATTTTTTAAGATATTTACGGAAATATCTACAAAATTAATGGTTTCAATAATTTCTTACTCGAATTTTATCAATTTTACCGAAAAATGGCAAGAGATAAAAATTGCTTATTTTTGTCTCATAGAGCTTTAAGTACTTTTTCCAGAACCTTTTATTAACTTTTTAGTACTGCATTTTCTTGCATTTTCTTGAAGTACTAAAAAATTAATAAAAAATTCTGAAAAAATTCTCAGAGCTCTATAAGATAAAAATAAGCAATTTTTATTTCTTGCCATTTTTCGGTAAAGTTGATAGAATTCGAGTAAGAAATTATTGAAACCAATAATTTTGTAGATATTTCCGCAAATACTTTAAAAAGTAAAGGTCATTTAAAAAAATTTTTTCAAACAAAAGTTGTTTCTTTCTTTACGTAGCATAAAATTCCGTAATAAAAAGCATGTTTCTATTTAAAAAAGCAAAGTTGACTTTGACTTGACTTTAGCGACGCCACCCAAAGTCAAACTGCTAACATCACTAAATACATCACTTTATATATGGCAACTTTTGTCTGAAATATTCTTCTCAAAACTGCATATTTTCCGAGATATTTTGTCGGTTCGGGACATGTGGAACACCCTGTATGTGTGTATGTATCACACACACACACACACACACACACACACACACACACACACACACACGCAAGCAAGCACGCACGCATTGGCCATAACCATATACAAATATATTATATCTTAATTAATGCTCTCATCTCTTTTATTTTGTTATTTTTTGTTCTAGAAACGTGTCGGCAGAGTGAAAAGAAAATACGACTACACAGGGATAAAGGATACTCCGTTCACGGTGGTAGTCAGCTTACCCGAGTACGATCACACTACGAACTATCGCGTGCATGCTACTGAGGAGATACATCGATCTCACGTTAAGGGTATGTATGCACTTGGATCCGATTGAGCTATCTTACAGCGACGAAAGCTTCTAATAAGAACAAACATGCATACATATGCGTTTTTCTCTGAATTAACTACAATTGATTGAATTAACAAAAACTAAGGTATTTGCCGAGAAACTTCGCCGATTATTCCGTCTCGTAGATCTCTTTCGTCAAGATTCTCATAGGTTACTTTTAATTTTTGTTACTTTTAATTTTTAGACTATACATCAAAGAGTAGTTTTTATGTTTTTATTAAGAATGAAATAATACCTGAAATTAATCTGAGTACTCGAATATCCGGATAACATCTGAAATATATAGTAACCCGGATACTTGGATGGTTCACGGGTAGTCAAGATTCACAGCACTAGTCACCACAAAAGCAGCGAGAACATATGTTCCATAACATGATTACGACAAATTTTTTCTCTTTTTAAATATCACCTCGTGTTCTACGCGAGGTGTCTGCCGCAAAGTTTCCACTCTAAAGTTCGTCGTATGCGCAGCATTTGGAATTACAGTGAGATATGTCGAAGGTGTTAATTATGGAAATTCACTGTGTTCAATGCCGACTTTACCGAGTATCATCGTAAATTTCGTTTCATTATAAAGAATAGTACAAATGAGAGACATCACTCGTCATCACTTCGGAATCTTAGTCGATCTAGTGAATCTTCCGTGCTAACACGGCGTCTCACCATCATCAGACGTAAATTTGCGATTCACCCATCAGCGAATGCGCGAAATGGATGTAATTTCTCGCGAAGACGGTAATGTGGCAGTCGGCGTAGAGTTATTGGTTTCAATATCCGTTTCACAAATTTGCCAAATATTTATTTCTTTTTCCTATTTCTTTTCTTTCTCGTGTTGGCAAGTTCATCGACGCTTTCGTCGCTGTCGCGGTCTCTTGGCAAATTGCCCGTACCGAATTTGAATGAACTGAAATGTTGTAGGAAAAAACGTGACAGATTATTTCGCGGGTAATAACTGGCGGGTGCACCCCCATTGGATGTACTGCAAGTGAGTGTTGCTAAAATTTTTCCATTAATGAGTAAGAAAACGTAAGAAGTATTATGAAAGTGAGAAAATGCAGTAATAAGTTATATATGCGAATATACGAAACGTGCGAATATATGCGTTTATACGAAATTCTCTTTCTTTCTTTTTTTCTTTCTCTCTCTCTCTCTCTCTCTCTCTCTCTCTCTCTCTTTCTCTCTCTGTTTTACTGTAAATCCTTAGGTATCACTACGAGGGTGAACACAGGTTCAACACCTCAGAGTTGCAGCTCCTACACTTTCTGGAGCGTACCCGTCAGCCAGGCTGGAAGTGGATCGACATGAAGCAACGATCCCAACCGCCGGAATACTCCGCTGCGAGTTCCGGTCACAGTTCGCATTGTAAGTTACAATTTTTATTTTTTATTAATTTTTTCGCACTCTTCAAGTTTTGTGAAACTCTTTCTGAAATGTATAATCGTCAAAAATTTCATATTCGCGTATTGCGTTGCATCACTTTAAATGATTTTTATGAGTCTTATAATGTATATCATGTAAAGCTAGCGTCGTACCAATTTCCAGCTAATCCTTACAAGGCCGACAGGAATTCGTACTATTGCGACAGGTATCTGTTGCTCAGTTTGGTGTTCGACGCTAAGGTAACCGAATGGTTTGCAAATCCCAGCACCACCCGCGAGGAAACAGGGTGAGCATAATTTCAATTTATTAATTGGCGAAAGAGCAAAGAAAGAAAAAAGAAAAAAAGAAAAGGAAAGAAAAACAGAAAAAAAGAACGCGCCCTACACAGCATAGCCAAGCCACTCGGGAAAAAACAAGTGAAACGAATATTTTCCTTTTTCCTGTTATATTTGTAACTAAGCGCTCGTGTCAGTCGCTCGACTCGACTTCTCAATAACGAGACTATTCGCGATCGTTTATGCGATGTTTGATGTCAATCCGATAATATAGGCCTTAATCGAGAAGGCAATAACACAAAACGATATGCTGTTTCTGATAGAAGATATAAAATGAGAAAAAATTATCAATTTGGATAAAATTAGAAAACGAGCGAGTTGAGAGATGTTAATAATTAAAAATTATACATTTAATTTGTCAAAAATCGCGTGGCAATGATTTCCTCGTAGAAAAAAAAATCGAGCGACTGGTCGTTGTTTGGCGCATTGGTGTTTCTCTATCTCTGTCTGTCTATCTGTCTCTCTCTCTCTCTCTCTCTCTCTCTCTCTCTCTCTCTCTCTCTCTCTCTCTCTGATATTTCGCGCAGATATTAATAAAATAAATAGAAAATGAAGAGGAATACATAATAATTAATATTAGTTCTTCCTCACACATACAGAGAGAGAGAGAGAGAGAGTTCGCAAAGTGACGTTCGTCCTAGATGCCGGCACAACCGTGCTGCCCGATGTTTACATGTATTTGCGCTTACATTCGTTTATCTGATCGATTTTTACATAAACGTCGCATTTTACCGACAACTCGGTATCAGCTAATCGCTCGCTTCATATTAGCCGTGCATTATTTATGCCCGGGAAATGCAGCGAGTAACGTAGAGTTATTCGGCGCTCTTATTCTGAGAGAGTAATACTAAATACTAAAAATACTACGAGAGAGAGAAAGAGAGAGACAGGTTGTTTTTTATCCGCGAATACATTTCGTAATTTTTACTCTCCGCGGTCTCGACTCACTTTGACCTTGCTCGATCG